AGATCCCCCATTGTTTTCCCTTTGCTCAGATGTAAATGTGTCAGCTCAATTTTTTGGAAAACATTTTAAATTTAAAACAAGCCAATCTGTGTAGTGTTTCCTGTGATGGTCTGGATGTAAGTCCACCATACAGGACAAAGCCAGCGGTCACAAACAGAGGAGTTTATCTCACAGTTGTCCACATATACAGTACACATGGACAGTGCACCCTTGCAAACATGAGCAGGGTGAAAAATAGCATGTAAAGGATCAGATACACACAAAGTGCCTCTTACTCACACACTCAGGAGGCTTAGTTTTATACTGGACACAGTCCAAACAAGTAAAAGCCTGTAGCAGTTCAGATACCACGTTTCTTTGCCTGTGCAGCACCAAACATGCTTATTATTAACTGATTCCAGCAGTTTCTTCTAAAGAGGAAGAAAGCCTCTGGTTGTGCCAGATGTAGGCGAGTGTGTAGATGACATTTTGAATGTAAATGTTTGTTTTTGTCCTCTTTAAATTAGCAATAACTGAAATATATATCATGGAAGGGCAATAAGCACAAAAGTATTAGTGTTAGTAAAGTTAATATAGACTAATGATAAAATAAGGTATTAGTTACTTTTATTTTGAAACGTAAATTGTTCAACAACCCTTTACCTTAATATTCGCCAATTTGAGAGATAATTGATTTGCTTTTTTACATTTGATATTGGCATTGTGTTGAATCATGACGTCTACAAGCCTGCATCAGATTTAAGAAAACATCTTAAATAAAAAAAAAAGATGTTTGGAATTTTATTTTTCTTAAGATGGTTGTCTTGAAAGCCTGCGCGCAAGGTGCTCGTTTATTTGCGATTATTTTTTCTTAATCACACAGGCCTGTCTTACATAAAAAACATTAATGCTCGAATGTCTGGTTATACATACCAAGGTGAGTTTCGCATTATTTTGCATTATTAGTTGTGAACAACCCAAGCCAAACTTTACTGCACGGCGAGCCGTCAAAGTGAAAACTTCATAAACATCATATTTACCTCTGTCTTTTTATTTAGGATTCAGTTATGACCTATACCATTTAAAATCCCAGCGGACAATCATTAATGTTGGCATGCGGCCTGAAACAGAAGACTGATACGGTACGCAGAGCTTGTACAGGTTAGCTCTCAGAGGAACTGCACTACATTACACCGGCTGTCCTTTAACTGTATTACAGGCCGGGAGTGAGCTGCAGCAAGAGGCGGTCCACGCTGCTCTGATTGTATTACGCACCAATCAAGGGAGGCACTTTGGCGGCAAACGCTGACGGAAAGTCTTTAATAAATAGGTGCAAATTAACATCCAGTCAACTAAAACAACCACTTACAAGAACGAAACATAAATGTGCTTTTTTTAAATAAAGACTTATTCATATGTCCCATTCAAAAGGACAATAAATAAATTTTATTATTGAATAGGCTATCCTTTTTAAAGATAATTAAAGGTTTATTGATTTGCTATCAGATATAGTAAATTTACAAACTAGCAATACCTAAAGCTTGGCTATATAATAGAGACACCTATAAGGTATACTTTTGCAGTTCCTTAATAGAGAATTATCATCCCAAACCTGAGAATCACTACAATTTTGATAGGATTATTTTAGCAATATTAACTAGTTTTTCCACTTTTGCTATTATTTAGCATTTTGTGGAGATTTCACATGAGGTTTAAGGTCCTTGAATTGTGTGTAAACTTTCATTTTGAGATGTGTGGGTTTTTTGGCAAATGAGTGTGTTGATCTGTTCCAGGATCAGATTCTACTTGGCGCTGTCCTTTCAGCACTACAGGCTTTAAAAAATCGTATTGGTCTCTACCCTTGACAGAGCTACATATATGCTCCAAAATGACTTATTACAGTGGAAATACGTGTAAACAATTTGCTAGATGTAGACCTGTATTTATCTTTGGTTGTTCAGTCAATTTCAGCTGATAGCAAAAAATTATACACACTACTGGATCCTTTCAAAAGTGAGATATGTTTTCTTTTTACATATTTCCATTCTCCACACTTTAACTGTTTGAGAAACCTGAAGTAGTTTGGATTAAGCATCAGCTCCTTAGGGGAGGAACCAATTGATTATTAAGAGATCCAGACTCTATGGAAGGAAAAGGGCCCCCTGTTGTTTCAAACCAGCTCCTCTAACTTCCCAAAGTGCAGGGGCCCAGAGGCAGGGCTGAGTGGAGTGTGTGTGCCTCCAGTAAATGGCTACAGAGCGACTCTTCTGAAGCAGCAGTGGGGTGGGTGGTGGGGAAGGACTTGTAGGATACATTAAATCAGCCTGATTAGGAGTTTAGGCAAGGGCACGGCTCAGGTCTGGCTGAAAGGCTGCCGGGCAGCCCTTGAGTGATACTATTCACATCCTGGGAGAAAGGTCAGTGTCAAGGGAGTTCACAGGCCCCATCTCCATTCTTATGCTAAAGAATCATGCACATAGCCTCATTCAGTGGCTGCAAAGGCATAAACAGCTTCCACCGACTTTCCCTCCAAAATGTTTGGATTCCTCAACTTGAGCTGTTTGTGAAAGTTGTGATGTGACATTATTGGGCTGAGTCCTCCAGCAATGTTTATTTGCATCTATACTCTTGTATAAAAGTCCTTGGTGTTGAAAATTATATAAACCTATCTAGAGTATGTGGCATTATTTTTTTTCTATATCTGCAAACGAGCTAAATTGTAATTTGAAAGTGGATAAAATTTTTATTTCCTGTTGTAAAAATCTCCTAGGAGGTGAACTTGTTGTTGTTTCCCCCTTATATTATCCGCGGTTCCAGTCACTAATTTTCCCTAGTAACCAGGTTTTATTAACTTCCTGTAAATAGGGTTCTTCATGCATTTTCTTGTCTGTCTCTGTCCAGCAGTCACTGGGGAATAGCAGGAAATAGCCACTTAATTAGTGGCCCTTGACCTTTGGCTCTGGCTCCTGACCTCAGCCTCTCTCCAGCCTGTTTATTGTCCTCTGGGGGACTGTCCACATCATGACCCCTGACCCTTGCTGACCTGTAGGGACTTCACCAACAGGTCCCTGTCCAGCGGCCCAGCATTACAAGACACTCATCAAAAAGCAACATATAACCAAGTAGCTAATTCAAGCAATTACGTCTCCAGAAAGATGACAGGGTGTTGAAGCTGTCAGGATTATTTACTGGAGCTCTTTTATGTTATGAAACATAAAAACACACATTTGCAGAGGGTAAAGTCAACACAAAATGAAACATGTTTTAATGATGAAAATCACATCAGCGTCACAGTTTTTACAAAATCATTTGAACATTTGGGACTTCGTTCCATCCAAACTCTACAGAGGCTGATTTCACTAATTGGTTTCCATTCATCCAGAGAGGGGAACTAATCACCGAAATCAGCCACTGTAGTGGATGGATTGAAAACATGCTGACTCCTGTATGGGCCTCCATGACTGAGATCTCCACTGCTACAGTAGACTGGGATTTTAGATTTAAGCAGATATGAAAACAAAGTGTTTTTAAATGCTGTTCACACTTAAGTGACTTATTTAATTGCATTTATTAATTGTAACTTTCTTCTCATTTTATTTGTGACTATTATTGTCTCTTTAGTTACTATTTACTATATGTTGTATTCAGAAGCCATTGTTTTCTAGATGATCAATATAGTAGATGCTCTTAATGTATATAGTATTTTAGTTTTTTAAGTTACTTATCTTCATGCACATGTTCTCCTGCTGCTGTGACTCTTCATTTCCCCTGTCTGGGATCAATGGTTGTTTTTTTTTAATCTAAATTTTTCTCTCAGGAGATGGTGATGTTTTCACACTGTTTTCAAATCAAATGCAATAGTGAAAAAATGGTTGCTGTAAATTTAAATCACTGACTTCAAAATAAAATATATTTATGTATTATGTAGCCTATATGTATATCTAACTAACACATTCAGCAGCCATGCACTTTAATGCTATAAAATTTTGCTATTTTTAAATACCTTCTTATGTTTTTATTATTAGGCTACACTGAATAAAACGCGATTTCATTTAAGGGATTCCATTAATGAAATACCGTTTAATTGTTTAAAAACATTTAACAACTTAAATCAACTGTCACAATATTTTTCTGTCTACCATTGCTACTTAATAAAACCTTATTCATTTTAAAAGAGAGGAAATGACAAAATTCTTTTTTCTGTCACTTTTAGGCGTTTTTACTTGTTTCCCCATCAAGAGACGGAAATAATCCCCCGTTGGCTCGGCGCGTGTCCATCTGTTGTTTGACTCCGGACACGGATCAGTCTGACACTGATTGAGGTCCGACTGACACCAGAACGGTCTGTAATCCCAAAACCTGATTAATCGTCTAAACTGGGGCCTAGTGAGTAGTAATACATTTGGATTTAAAGTAAACAACGCACACGTATTTTTTATCCATCGTATATAACATAATCTTTTTAGCCTGCGTCATTAGTTTAGGACTTTTTTCGCAGCGTGCAGCAGGTCTACGTTTTCCTGACAAATAAAATATGAGGGGAATGAACAAAACCGTGTTATATATTTTAATAGCGGGCAGGGTCCATTGAGTTTTGTGGCTGATGAACTTTTCTTTCTCACACTGATTCAACACACGTCCCTCTGTCTGCTCCTCCTAATTAAAACTTAATGCGGGGTCACTCAAACACTTTCTCACACAATCCTCACACACACGCACGCACACACATTCACCATGTGAATCTAAAAAAAGAAGGAAAAGGGATAGAGTAAGAGAGAGAGAGAGAGTCCTGCAGGTTTGACTCCTAAACACGTTGATTTATTTTTCCACTTTTTAAATGTCTTTTTTTTTTTTTGAAGATTAAAGACAAAAGGTTGTTTTGTAAAAAATTCTGTAAAAACACAAATCCCCATGTCAGCAATGTGACAGTCCAGCATCCAGAATGACAATCTAGTGTTTCCCTGCCTAACTGATTACCAAAATCAAGAGAGAGGAGATGGCCATATTTTCATTATTTTTATTTTAAAGAAATGTCACTGACAACAGTAAATTAAAACAACAAACTTAATCAGTAATGCATTTATATCCTATTAATTACTATTTCAATCTAGACATGAGATACATGAATCAATAATTGAATTAATTAAACCTTGGAACATTTAAGTCTTTTTTGTTTGCACAATTTTAAAATAACACATTTGTGTAAACATGTTTAATCGCACACACTTTATCATTAATACAATATCTTAAAATAACTTGGTATTTTCATGGAAAATAGGCATACCTCAAGTTTTACATTTCAGGCTTACAGAATATCGGTTTTGCTTCTACAGTCCTTTATAAAAATCTTCTTGCAGTGTGTGGGTGACTGATATTCCTCATGTTCTGGTGAGAGCCTCCGATGACAACATTTCATTGAGCTTGGTCCACGATCTCCTGTGCCAAAACAGGTTCCTAGAGAGTGTAGAAGGCCTTGCAGATCCTCTCACATCCTGAGGACAAATGATGGAGGGAATCATTAGCATGACAATCAAACTCTTCCACTCTGCATAGACAGTAATCATATTTCACATTTTGGGCCAGAAAGAAAAAAATACAGAAGAAAGAATTTTTTTTCACTACAATAAATACTGTTTTAGGATTAGAACTGATGAGTTTGTTTTGACAATCCTGAATTTGTTGGTGCTCATGATTTTTAGTTTTGGGCATCAGAAACTGCCGGCAGTGTTTCAGAAAATAAAACTTCCTTTTCATGCCATGTATAAAAAAAATAGGCCCCTTCCCTCTGCATGTTGTTCTTCTCTCCCATTTTCAGGCTGTATGCATGGAGGGATCTTAAGGCTTTTATCCCCACAGGGAACCAGCCCGAACTCTTTCTCTGTCAATTTTCACCCACTCCCTAATTCAGACAGGGCCTTTCTCCCACCAACCCCACAATGAAGGATTTGTCCTCGTTCTCTTTGTCCACCTCTGACATCTTTTTTTTGACTGCTCCCTCTCTGCAGACAGCATGCAGCGTATGCAAATACACACTCTTTTATTCCTGAGACCCCTCCCCTGAATGAATGCAACCTTAAATGAGGACACACTTGCACACATTTGCAGAGGGGGGGGGTTCATGAAAACATGTACATATTCCAATCAGCGGATCTGCATGGCCTCTCTGACACGCAGTCACTCAAACATCGAGCACCAACCATTTTTAAAAAATGAGCTGACAGAAATATGTAGTTAGCTGATGTCACAGATTGTTTCATGTATATGTCTGTACATGTGGTTTAACCATGAATAACAGAGACAATAAAGCAAGAGGTGTGGGCCAGAGAGGATGGCACATACATTTACTTTTTTTTTAAATTCAAAACAGGTTACCGTGTAAAATGTGCAATCTGTTCCTGAAGACAGCACACATATGGTCTCATAAAAAGAACTGTAGAATCTCATTTGAAGCTGAATTTAAACAAAAGTAAAAGATCTTTATGTGCCAGAGAAACTTCTATTTTCTTGGTTTCTTAAAGAGGAAAGAGGCTTTGTACATTATACAGTTTATAGAGATTGGCTACAAAGAAATTGAATACAAAGTCAAATGTATGTTTATTGCTCTGTAGATGATGATGTAAGGGCTACACCTTTTAGCAAAAACTTTTTCATCTCTGCTTGTTTCTGATTGAAAAGACTTGAGTTATGTTTCAGTTGGGAAGCCTTTTTTGTGGTCAATTGAATTTGTAGAACTTGGGGAAGGAGACAGAGCTCTCCAAGTTTTGCAATGTAAGAAGTAATAAGGGTGGTTTCACCACAGTAATGATATATTTGGTGTCTTCTAAGCCCATATGTCCACAGCATACACACATGCACACACATAATGGGCATTTAGATGTGTAGGATGAGCCTGAAAAATGAGACAGAGGTAGACCAATACAATAGTGGGGATGCTCTGAGGGAGAGGTGTAGACTGTGTAACTCTAAAGGCTGGATGAATTATAACAGTGTCTGATGAACATAAAGCGTTCTCTTGCAGCCAACATTCCCAAGCTGGCCCGTGCCATCTGTGAATGTGTGTGAACGTGTTGGAGCTAATGTATGTGTGTGTGTGTGTGTGTGGTGGGGGGTTGACGTCTGCTGGACAGCTCTGACAGTTCGGCCTTTTCAGTTGTACATTACTGAGCCGACCGGCCTCTTTCCCATAGCAACCCTAACAGAGGTCAAAGGCTATGTACCCGCCATCCACCCACCCATCACCACCATCACCACCACCCTCCTCCTTGTATTCCAGGGTGGTCACAGATTTTCTTAACTCCCCGACTGGCCGCAGACAGAGCGGCTGCATCCATGAACTTGAACTTAACTTGATTTCTGACTGATGGATCCACATATCCATCTGATGCAGGAATAGAGACACAAGGAGAAGTCTATACTCTGGACTTCTTGCTCTTTTTTTATGACCATTTCCTCTTTTACTCCCTTTTTCACCCTTTGTCCTGCTATCAAATTCACGTACTATACCAATAGAATAGGAAACATGTAAAAATGAGGTCACACCACCTATTTCTCATCACCCTAGAGCCTCATCTCCTCTTGATATAATTACAAAGGGCTGCTGTATTAAAGGCTCAGTCACCTAATTCTCTTCCACTTTCATTGGAGCATACAGGACCCCTACTCAGGGACGCCGCAGCCAACAGACGTAATCTGAAAAGCCTGGGATGTAGAAACTTCTCTCCATCTTCCTCTAAGATACTTAATGTCAGGCTTTGTGCTAGATTAGTCTCGGCCAAAGTTACATTAAAAAACCCCAGATGAGCCTCGCTTGACCCACATTGGACCTCATCCAAAACTATGGGCGGCCCGTGAACTGGGCTTTATATATCACAGTAGAGCCGTTAAAACATTAATAGTGTCCACACATAGTGAGGAGAATCCGAAGAGGTAACCCAGGAGCTATATGGTATTAACATTTTATCGCTACTATGGCTACGCTGCTTCACCCACACAGAATTGGAAGTGAGCGCCGGCTACTGTCACTTCATCATGTCACACATTATAATTTGGTGGCTCTGAATATCTCACATAGCAAAAAGAAATACACCATTAATAATGAATAACAGAGGAAAGAGAGAAGCAAGAAAGGAAATGTAATCATCTATATTCTGCCATTTTCTGGTTGGGAAATACATTTTTCTGTAATTTTTTTAGGTACTGTACAAGACATAATTAATTAATGAATATTCAAGTCACTGCAACTACAGTGCAAAGAGGAAGATTCAAGGATGTTCAGCTCCTAAATCCTCCTGACACGGTGTCAAAGCCGTTGACCTCGCTCTGGTTTCAGACAATCTTGATTGGAAACTCTCTTTGTTTGTGAGTGGATTAAAACCAGACTCTTAAGCAGTTTCACCAAAGTGTTTAGAAGGCATCACATAATATTACAATCAAGTTGAGCTCACCTTGATAGCGTATTTTCATTCTGTGTTCACTCACTAACACTCATGCCAAGTTATTTCAACCTGTGTATTGCAATTAGTCAGAATTACACATCATAAAAACAAAATAATTATTCTGTGTGCTTCCAAATAGTAGAAAAGTTGATCTTCTTGCAGGAATAGTAAGGATGAATTTGCTTCAGTCACCGCCTCTCTTTGACTATGCTTTCTCTTTCGACTGCAGCAGTTATCACACACATTGGCAGGCCAATCCCCCCCCCCCCTTTACTCTTTTCAAATGCACACACACACACCAGCCCTCTGTGCCCAGCTCCTTGTGCCTGCGAATTGATTTAGCAAGGCACTGCACATGCTAACACAAGCTAACTTCATCAGCAGATCCAGAGGTAACACTGGTGGCTCAAACATGGCTGCCCATGTGCTACACCTGCCTCTGTTTCCTCCACTATCTTTAACCCTTTCTTGATAAGCTAATCTTTTGTTTTACTTTTCGAAAGCAACAATGTTATCACTCCCCCGCTCCTGCTACTCTGTTTTCTCTAACTCACTGTGGAGATCTGCTACAGAGACGTAGCATGGAGCAAGACACAGTATCTCCAAGATTAATTTCTCGTCTTCACCTTGCTTTCTCTCTTCTGTCAAACCTGCCTGAAGCAATGCGCCGTATATCACAGATGAGCAGCACAAATGCAATTATAAAGACAGCTCTGAGTCTTTTATATGAATAAAGAGAGGGAATAATCTTTTGACACGTGGGCTGCACATGCCTTAAATATCTTGTGCAGACACACGTACAGTATGAGGCTCATTAATAATCCGCGGGTTACATCATTCTGCTTGTTAGGCACACCCATCGCCTTAGCTGAGTCATTCTCAGTGATGCACAATGCCACTAACTGTCTTGTGAGATGTTCATGATGTCTGTCTTTTTATCACCTGAGAGCGAAACAAATATATAGATTCTGTTTGCATGAGGGACAAACCATATCAAGCTGGTAATTGAGCAAAGATAAAGGAGTGCATGGTTGATGACAGGCACGCTGCATAAAATTTCAACGTTAAATACATGAAAATGCATCTTTGTGCTGTTGAAATATCATTGCATTACACCTCTGATGCACTCCAATGGCAAACTGTGATCTGGTGTGTGAGGGGTTGCAGGTCTGTGAATGCACCACTAATGCCAGTGAAATCCTTCTCATTTAGCAGGAAAAAAACAGCATCTCCATGCCTTTCAGACATGCAGAGGAGGCTGAAAAGGCTAATGAACAGTCAGGTGGCACTCCAGGGCCTGGATGACTACCCCCCATCACACACATATCAAACACGCATACACTTGCTCGCACATTAAAACTCAGCAGCTCACCCGACCCCGGTGATCCGCACGACAGTCTAATGTCTCAGGCATCTGCTCATGTCTAGTCTAGAGGGTCTTTCCCACCCTGCCCCCCAAGCCCAGGCCGGCCGCAGCACCGGCTCCCACAATGGTGGGAAAGCAGGCCTTTACGGAGAGTGGGGAGGGGGGAGGACTAACAGCTATTGAGTGGGGAGAGAGAGAGAGCGGAGCTGAATGATAATGTGAAAATGCACGGCGCTGTTCATTAACACACAAGCACTGCAGCTGCACATGTTGGCCCTGGACACACACGCTCACGTGTCTCTGCTTCAGGTTGCTGCCAGAACCACCAGGGGTACAGAGCAGCTCTACGCCACGATAAGAAGCATTTGCAGGGTCTGTATGAGTGTATGCGAGGTTACAGAGATGGAAGTGGTAAAGGGGTGATATTTGTCGGCCGCTGCCTCAAAATGTCGCAATCTGTCTAAGACTGCAACATTTTTACATCAGCGAAGTCTGACATTTTTAGTCTGTGTATCAACTAAAGTTCTTCACCATGTGTGCATCATTATAGCAGCAAGTGCAATCAATATAATATGATGTTTGAGATCCAACAAGTAAGCTGTCTGTGACGTGTTTCAAAAAATGCCACTTTAAACACTTAAAATGTTCTGATGAGCATCATTACATAAATGTTTCGAAATACAAAAACTGTTAATATTCAGTGCTGATATTGTTACACATAAATACCTTTGCTCATATAGTAAATGAAATTGTGAGAGATTGTAACTGTTCTACTTTTAAAAACAATAATGTGATTTAACAAACAGGAAATTATCTGAGTTTCCCCTATGACCCCCTCCTCAACAAGATTCACGTGAGGGGTTCAGCACATAGTTAAGATACTGTAATAAATATCACAATGTGAATTCCATGACAAAAGCAGTTTTGCATAGATTCATCTATGGGCTTTGTCGGGTGGAAACACGACGGTGTGCATCAGGGAGTAAAGAAGCACCATGACAAGAGACGATGGCAGGTTTCCTTCAACCAGTGCCAGCTCATTAATTTTGTTTGCTCCCCCCCCCCCCCCCCCCACCACCATCAACCATCACTAAGCACCACCACCCTTCATCACCCACCAACCCCCCTCACATCACCCCTTAACTGCTAATTAGCAGGGGCAGAAGATAGAGGAGAAAAGGGAGAGGCCCTGTGTGACTGAGGAAATGGGAAACTCTTCTTCTATCCCTTGTCTTTCCTTCTGCCACCATCCCCCATCACACACACGCACACACACACACACAATCTCACACACACACCCCCGCCACCTCCTGCCCACTACCTCCACTGGTACCCAACGGAAAACCATGATGCAGCTCACCTCATATGCCAGTCCAGCCATTTTAGGTGTCGCAGCAACATCTCCCAAGATGGCTCCTCTGAGCGCGCCCACACTACAAGGAGTCTTTGTCTGCTTCCTGGCACGGGCAAACTGTTCCCCGTTGGCAGTACAGATGGCACTAGAGGCTCTTGGGTAAAAAGGGTGAGGAGTGGGAGGAGGAGGTGGCAATTCCGGATGGAGCGCTTTCCCCCCCGTCTCTCCATGTTTTCTTTTAATGATGGTTCAACCCTCTTTTCAGGAACCCCCAATCATTCAGTGTTGTTAATGGGAAGCCTGTAACGAGCAGATGGAAGAGAGAAAACAGAAGAAATAAAACATGAAAAGCACATTTTGAACGCAATAAAGCTAAATACAGCCTTTTCATTATAGGTTCTTCATTAAAGAACTGACCAGCAGCACTTTACCAGTTATGAAAACTTTTAAATCTCTGGCCTGGCTTTGATCACTCAAAAAGCAATTACCTTGTTGTGATATTTGTGTGCATAAGTGTGTATTTTTGCTAGAATAACAGCACAAAAAGAACCATTTGCATAATACATGTATACACGGGTTGAAACAAGGATGCATTGGACCATCCTATGAATAAAGCCTCAAGTGTTTTTATTCCCATTCATTAAGGGAGGCACGCCAAGTTGATTTTCTACCTATAACAGGCAAAGCTCAGGAAAAGACTTGGACCAAGGCCTTTTCACATATCCAATATCTCGCTGTGAAACGAAGCAATTAGCCCGGTTTGACAGCAAGCTCTACTGCAATAGGTAGTTAACGGAGTGAATGAAAACTCATCTCACTTTGGTGCTCTTTAGGCTTCAGTGGCATTCTCCGGGCTCAGCGTATGCGCCGCACAGCGCTGAAGTACCAAGTTAAAAAGTTCAGCTCCTGTCTACAGGATGACCATGGCCTTCTCATTGAGGCAAGACACAATGTATCCCAAAGGCTCCAAGATTCAGTACAGCTTTAAACACAGACGCCAAGTGGGTTTTTTTAAACCCTGGATGTGTAGGGTGCTACACCACTCAACTGCATTATTAGTAGTCCTGGAAACATTAGTGTCTGGACAAAGCAGTGTCCTCCCTTTTCATTCTTCTATAAACAAAGTCTAACAGGTGAAAACTACGATGCTGTTTTTTTTTAATAACTTGAAAACACACATCAAAAGATGAAAGTAAATGAATTCAACAGTGTTGTGTGAAATGCAAAAGATAAATATAAGAGGCTGCTTTGGTAAAATTTGAACTTTAACTAGGGATGGCAGTGCAGCACACCAGTGTGTCCCAAAGCAGGTGCATCTAGGAATCTTTGAGATAAACTCTGGAGGACCTCAACTAAATAAGGAGAGCAGGAGGGATCAGATTAAACGCTCTAAGAATGTCTTCACAGGCGACATTTGTAAATAAAAATGAATGATGACTGAATTCTACTTAGCTGTTTCAGTTTCAGAGACCTGGTATTGTGCATGCTGGCTCACTGTCACCCTGGCATGGCTTACTGGGAAATTTGAATAGAAAAGATCCATTGTTAATGTTATTAATAACACCTGTTCTTTTCCTACTATGAAAAGTCAAAATGTCTGCTGTCTGCTGAATATTACCTCCCGGCCTACATTATTTTATTTTATTTGCACAATGAAATCAAACTTCTTCTCAGATGATGGTACTAAATCTCAGGTGTCATGCATATACATTTTAGTTCACACCACTGGACGACCTGTTTAACACTGAGCACCATGTTGCAGAGGACCTGTATGGATGGCAACCAACTAAAACAGGCACAGTTACTGCCTGCAGGCGCAGAGTCAATTCACACCACTCATATAGTGAATACTCAAAATAAAGTGAGATAAGAAAAAAAAAAGATTTCTGGGCCTACATCAAACTCTGTTAACATAGTGATCGAGGATAAGCTGTTTGAACTTTGGGCTTTTGTCTTTTAAAAAGAATCAACACATTGTGTGAAAGGGATTTTTGTTTTCCTTATCATCACATGGCTGATGTCAGGGTGATATATACAAAAGATAACAGATGAACATTATTTTGCAAATAAATGGTAATATCAAAATCTTTTTATAAAAGAAAAACTAACCTATCATGTTGAATTCAAAACTCACATATTATTTTACAGCATTAGCCCTAGCCATTTGGGGTTATCTGCATGCCAATAACAAGCTAAGAAAATCCCAAACCACAAAGCAAAACTATCTTCTTACCCCTTACAGGTGACAGTCAAAATCTGCGTTGGTGAGTTTAAAGAAGTCCCTTCTCTTTCGGGAATGAACACAACGTTAACGGAAGTCATTTCTACTTTCGGTTATCTAGCTTTATGACAGGTATTTAACACTCATACAGCTAGATAACCAAAGACAGAAACAGAGCCCCTCTCGCTCTCTCGTGCTGCAGCCCGACGTGATGCTGGCGTCATCCAGGAGGAGGTGAAGATGCATTACTAGGCCTGTAATATTTAAAAAGACATCCTCAGCTCATTTACACTGTTTAAAACAAAGAAAATAAATTACAGTCCAAGAAGTGAGGCCACGGACAACAACTGCAGCCTAGCTCAATAACAGGATACGGAACAGTGTGTTCAAATGTGTTAAATTTGAACACAAATTTTGTGGGTTAGAGAAGTTACAAACTAAAGCCGTCAAATATTCCTGTCGTTATACATGAGCTGTCTGGTTGAAGGCCTACTCAGTGCTGAGATTAAAGCGACCTAACTATAGCCTACTGTAAATTCCATTTTATATTGTAGTTAGCTTTGAGAAGCCTCCTTCAAAAACATTATAGGATTAGCCTACTGTAGGTTTTCGTAAAGACAATTAAATAAGACAAGTAAATTGTTATTTTGCATTTATACGTAAATATATAGCCTATAGGCCTATGTGTGTGTGCGGGAGTATGATAGTGCATTAGCATCTCTTGCACAATATTTCTATATGGAATCAGACATTTTTTAATCATCTACCAAGCAGAACTCGTCAAATGAGAAATCAAGTTTAAGCTGCCAATTTGAAATATATGGTGGCACTCACATGCCACATGTTCAGATACATTCAAAATATCCACCTGGACGCTGAAAAATATTTAGAAAATACACAGTTATTTTATATAAGACAGTCCTGTGTTCTGCAGATATAGGCTATATATCCTTTTCTTTTACACTAGGTATTTTTCATTTAGGGCTCCATTAAAACCTAACGCTGACCTGCTTTGCGATTGTACAGGCTATCTTAACACAATCCATAGCTGGTATTTTACCTGACACTCTGTTGTAAATTCACAAAAATACATTTCAGCTTTAGAACTTAAAGTCTGCATGTACGTGTAAGTTGGTATAATGCTAAGAAGCTAAATGTACTAAGAAGCCTATTTTGTCTCTGTGGATGCTACTGAAACGTGTGATCAAACAGGGGCGACCTGAAGGCATGACCATGACCACGAACCTGAGACTTAGGTCAAGAGAAAGGGCTCTTTGGTGAAGAAGGTTCAAATGGTAGCCTACTCCTAGATCAACAGCTGACTCTTAAAAAAAAAAATCTAGGTCACTAAATCTGAAATGAGCTGGATTTTAATATGTTTTAATTTGCTATTGGCTCTTTAGTGCTCCTGGGGGCAACGAATCCCTACTTTTAATGAGAGTTGCGATTGGCCTACTTCTTCTTAAACTAGAATATTTCACACCACAAGGATCATCCACATAAGCTATTACAAAAAGCTGTTACTGATCATAGTAACAGGCCGAGGTGCATGGTGGTATATTGTTGCACTTCAAAGGACAAGGGTTTTTGTCTGTTTAGGGACCAAAGACCTATGCTTTTTCCTCATTTCAAATAAAACGGAAGGGCGTTTCTGATGATTAAATAGGCTCTGCCTATGTTACCTCGCGTAAAAAAAACAACAACTCTACGGTAAACTTTACATGCATCTTCTGTGTCCCTATATTTATCTGCAGAAGAGACATGGACATGCCAGAACAGACTCAAAGCTGGTAAAATGTATACGTGCAAATTCAGATGCGTTTCTTACCCGTTTCAGAAGCAAAGCAGACTCTGGAGAGAAATGTCCTCAACTTCAGGCCGTAATGAATTTTCCAGATGTTTTTTGTTCTGCGTTTACATCGGGCCCTTGAAGAGCGTCGGCGCTGCTGCCTCCAGGTGAGTCCAGTTTCATCCTCAGTCCTCCAGCTTCTGCGTCTCCTCCAGGCTGCGCGCTTCCTCTACTCGCTCCCGCACTGACGTCATTCTAGGACAAGAGCGGCGTGTTGACCAATCATAGAGTCCGCCGGCACCGAAGAGTACGGGCTCGGCAAGACATCTCACTCCTCTTCATGTTTTTTGATGATTTCTCTACCACAACTACTACTACTAATATTACTACTACTAGCTACTACTATTACTACTAAGCATACTACTAGTAGGCGTACTAATATAGCCTAGTAATAGCCAATGACAAGCCTTTTCAATACTACCTAAGGAGTTACCTACCTAAGCCAAGTTGTCATGAAACTTGCATTATGTTCAAACTTCCATTTTTATTTGAGAACTTTTAGGAATTTCATCCATGATGACTTGAAAGTCCACCTAAGAAACAGCAGTTGACAAACAACACCTCAAGGTCAATGATCGGGTTGGTATATAAGCTATATATATATATATATATATATATATATATAGGCCTATATATTCCTTTTATATATATATTATTCCTTTTAGCCTATAATACATTACACTACTATAACCTCAGACACAAACAAATCATCAGAATTTCATAGGTCTTGCAACCCTTTTTGAGAGGTATTCAGTCTTGTATTCTGTGAAAATCCAGCTCCACTGGCCCAAGCCAGAATGACGCAATTCTGGTGACCACAGGCAGCCAAATGGTGCTACATATGGGTAAATATTTTATTCATTCACTGGACTATCTCCTGGACACAGCATACCCATAGGCTATTGTAAGTTTAGACAAGTGAGAACAAGAAATTGATTTCCCACCCTTCCCTTTTCACGCAGTTTTACAGGCTGGAAAAAGACGTGAACATTCTTGATGAATAAAAGATCTTTGCGGTCTTGAGGCTTTTGTATTTGGCAAGTTATGGCTTGGGAGCACAGGGGCCAATGCCAAGACTAGTATGAACAACTCCCTCCAAATCTGTATGATCAGAAGAAAATGTATTCTGAACGGTTTTAAACTACACTGGACCCAAATGATACATAGGGTCATTCTCATTATGTCTTTTAGCCACATGTAGGCTATAGGAAATAATGGCAGAATGTAAGACTGACACAATGAATGTGAAATGAATTTCATTGGCCTAAAAGAGCTTTCAGTGCTTGGTAATTTAATCATAGCCTTTAAATTGTATGCTTTAAAAAAACTCCCTCTGCATTCCTGTTTAGGAGTAGGCTGCAATACTATCTTAATGACCATTTATTTTCAAAATGAATGGTTTGACCACTAAGCAGATAAATTTCTGGAGGTATTAAAATTGGACTAGCTCAATGTGGCCAATGTAAAATATCCAATTTTCCCCCAGATTATGGGGAGGAATGAAAAATACATTTGAGTTAGATTTTAACCTCTGGTACACAAATTAATATTGTCATGGGAGAAAATTTCGTACTGAATGCTTCATAATCCAAAACATTTTATATTAACTGGTCTCTATGGATTTTAAGTTATGCTTGAATAATGTTTAAATCATTTTGACTGGACAAGACAAGCCTGATTCCCATTCTTTTGTGTGCTTTGTGTGCTTATGCTCATTTATTCATCGTGTGGTGCGTTGAAGCACAGAAAATCTGCCTGCCACTTAGCCTACTGCAGATTGCAACTGTCTACATTTTCATCAGACTTTAATGGTCATTTGTTTGTTCACGTATCATTAGTGCTTAACACTGTGTCTGAGGTGCCATCAGCATTTCTTGTTGAAACTTTTAGTGGAGCAGTGGAACAATTTCAATCAAACACTGGAGACACACAATCACTCCATTTCATACACACTAACTCTCTTTTCTTCCTTCAGTGAATCCACATTGTTGAACTAATGCAAGTTTAGGGGTCCTCACATCAGATTTAGCCCTGTGTTTTCTATCGTCTGTCAAATATGTACGTGGACCAAACGTTTACTGGACAAGAAGACAAAGAACATGTTTATGACTATCTAGAAATATGTCTTGTATGAGCTCTTTGAAAACTATATGCATTTAAATTCTTTCATAATAAATTAATTTGCAGATATGTGGTGTTCAACCAACAACAATAATTCACTGAGTAACAACTGTAAAATGCACTTATCTTTTATTGACATAATAGCCAGATCAATCCATGGGCAACATGGGAAGTGAACAGTCAGCAGCATGAGGCATGCACAAGGAAGGCACACAGCCATTCAAGTAGATGCAGTTTGTCGGAGCTTTGGAGAAGACGCAGCGCTCATCTATCTCCCTCCTTCTCTCTCGCTCACACACGCACACACACACACACACACACACACACAGCGGTGTGGCTGTACAGGTACAGGAGGTCATCTTCATAGTATTCCAAAGATGATGTCTGGCTGGAGGAGGAGAAATCATTAGTGAGCTTAATATGTTCCCTTTTAATGAACACTGACATGTTAACGGGACAACTGTACATGCTAAATGCTGCAGTCAGTCACTCACACGCTGCAGGAGGTGCTGTCCAGTGAAAGAGCGGGTGTCTGGAGGCTGGCCATCGTCTCCCACTGCCTTGCAGCGTAGGTACCCATAGAGATTAGCCACTTGGAGGGAAATACTAGCTACCACAAGTGACTGGGGAAGGCAGACAGATACATTTTTTAATTTATATAGGTTTATGTTTATTGTTAAACGTCAACAAAGCAAATTCCTTGTATGTGTACATACCTCTATATGCAGAGCATGCACACAAGTAACATGTCTCACCAGCCATTTAATCTTCAGGGAGAAGAGGGAGGTGAAGAAGAAGAATGTCCAAATGAGAGGACAGATGATGAGACCCAGCCAAAATATCCTTGCCTCTGCCTCTGTCCCAATGTTGTTGCCTCGGCAGGTCTGCACGCACGCACACACACACACACACACACACACACACACACACACACACACACACACACACACACACACACACACACACAGCAATAGCTTACTGTTTAATACCCCCCAAAATGCTGTTCCTTCACTCACAATGGCACACAATAATGACAGTATCTTACTTTTTTGGCCTCAAACACCCAGAGGCTCTTTCCATCCTCGTCAACCTGATTCCACCAACGCAGCCCCACCAACAGCCTGCCAGTCACATTCTGAAACACAGGACAAACGTGAATGAAGTGCACAAGAGGACAAGAAAGGGGCCACACATTTAGTAAAGTATTACCTATTTGACTTCTCACCTTGACAGACCAGAAGTCAAAAGAGAGCAGAGTGATGATCAGGACAAAACATGATGCAAAGTTCTCGCTGATCCAGTCACAGAGCAAATAGGTAATAATAGCAACCACCCGGAAGAAAAGGTGGAAAAAGGAGGCGAGGGGGTGTCTGAAATCAAATAAGATTAGAAATGATGAAGAGCCTAAAAATACAAATGAGGCACATAGAGATAAAGCAGGCAGAGACAACTTTGTTGTACAGCAAATCTACAGATGTCCAGTCAGACCTACTCTGATGATGTAGCCTATGTAAACATAACATCATACATAGCCCTATATAACTGAAACTGCTGCATTTGAGAGAGCATACCGTGTGCAATGTGGTTGTTGAGATTTGTTTAAGACGTTTCATGTGATTTAAATGACTAATTATATGTATTTTATATTGATAAAAGCAAGCGACTGTGCAATACGAATGAGTTTATATAATAATAAACATCTCCTGCAGTGTACCTTATGACTGCGCTTCTCCGCGCCCTCTCCTGCTCGTCAGCAGCAAAGTCCAGCTCCACATCCTCCGTGTCATCCGCCATCGTCTATCAAGAGGCAAAGACAAAACACAACAGCATTAATCATGCCAGACCATCCTCGCTAATACAACAAAGGCAAACACATTACAAGTACAGCCAGACAGAATACAGGCTACCCATTGTTTTCATGATCGTAGATGTGTAAAGCTAAAGCAAGGCGAAATACCATTTGAGGAAAGCAAGCGTAGCTGTAGCCTATTGGGATGCAATAAGGCAGGTGTTGCAGTGAAATGAGACCGACCTCCTCAGGCACTATACTATTCACATCCACATCAGGATGTTGGGCTTTAAAACCGTTTCAAGGTAACGAGGACTCCTTTTATTTGCCACTATAATAAAAACCATTGTCGATTAGCAAAGAAGTCAGTGAAATGTTGATAGCTGGTACACATTTCGCTGAAAGACACAATGCAGCAAATCCAGACATCAACATAATTTGGACTCAAAAGAGCGACCGCGGCAGGACTCGAACCTGCAATCTTCTGATCCGAAGTCAGACGCCTTATCCATTAGGCCACGCGGCCACGATGTGAACGAATAACAGCTCCATACAAGTTTAATATATTTCGGGTGAAAGTCATTTGTTATGTGTGCTGTGCTGATGTGTGATATAAATCACGAATTGTGGATAATTCACGTTTTCCCAATTGTACGTTACCCACCGTGGTGTTCAGCCAATCATTCTTTTGTGTTTGTTAAAAATGTTGCAGTCATCCGGACCGCGTGGGGTCGCTAACGCTTTGTCTTGGTTTGGTCCTTCTACCCCGTGGGTAACGTTAGGCATGCTAAGGCAACAACCACATTTGATGTGTAGCGCTTTTTAAACATATTTTAGTTGATAACATTAACGTTAAACCCGATAACACAGAGCAGGTGAGTTGTTTTGTTTGCTTTGAGTGAAACTCTAGCTAACACATTTGGTGAGGACAGGATTAAACAGTTATTATTTTGTTTGGTTGCTCACAAATTAGCAACAGTCCCTTTGGCATGGGTCAGATGTTAGTGAACATACGTTGGCAGGTTGGTGGTATACTATAGTAATTTAACCAAACAGGTGAGTATTTTTCTGCGAGTGTAACTTACCTAGCTGTACTATGCTACCGCACTTGTTTTCATCTGACATATCTAGCGTTAATGTTAAAGTTGGGTTATAACTTTTTGAGGAAGTTAACCTTATCTGAGGAAAATATAAAGGTGTGTTTCTCGTCCTCAAAAGTGTGACTGAATTATGTTCCAGTAAGTTATGTAATTTAAAGTAGGTAGGGATGAGTGAATAAGACCAAGCTGTTGTTTTACTCATCAAGCAATAAGATCAGAAAATCACCAAGATACCATTTAATGAACCCTTTAAGACTACATAACAATATCATTCTACCAAAATCACACATCATAAGATAAAATCAAACATTCTATATCTAGGTTCTACCTAGATATAGCTAGCTGTAACTGGCCCCAGTTTGTAATGAGAGGCAAACTGTGTGGTATCATGTCATAAGGTTGATCTATCTATGTCTTCCAGCTCAAGAGTGATGTCCTCATGAGGTGATGCTGCATGTGTTGCGCTGTCCTCTGCAGAGGACTCTCATTTCTCTTCAATGGACATGTTTACGCTCTCTCTGCTCCACCAAGCCTCGCTCTTTTCAGGGCGAGGACTCCACAGAGATCCGCCTGAACCCCCTTAAGATTCAGATGCTGTCAGAGAACCTCCACAGGCAGATCTTTCGAGGGCTGGAACCAGAGTACAGAGAGGACGATGTGGAGCGCAGCATCAGGCACCTGCAGAAACACCAGCTGTGGGGGAAGGAAACGTCACTGTTGCCTGATGTGGAGCTGAAGCTTCCCCACATGTATGGCAAAAATATTGATGAGCACTTTCGTATCTTGGCCGAGAAGCAGAGTCTTCCCTACCTTGAGGCTGCATCCAAGCTACAGCAGGCTGAGCTCCCTCCCATGCCAGCGAAGTGGATCTGGGAGGTTGGCTGGACACGCTATGGGCCCAATGGGGAGAGTCAGAAAGTTGATTTCCCAGAGGAGTCAGCACTGGTGTTTGATGTGGAGGTGTGCATGACGGAGGGGCAGTGTCCCACACTGGCTGTTGCTGTGTCTCCCACGAACTGGTGAGGAACAAGAAAGAATTATAAAGATTGTGTAAGAGAAATACCATTAAACTGTTTATTGGACAGATTGATTGACTTCATTGTGGTGTTACGGGTCAGGTTGTTTTGCTTAATAAGCAGAGAATGTGTTTCCATAGTCCCACTAATGCTACCAAAAGATGTACATGTTTTATGAAAATCATATGTGGATGTAAAATGTCAGTTGGATTAAAATTTTCCCGATGTGTATATTTCTCCCTTGCTAGGTACTCCTGGTGCAGTAAGCGTCTGATTGAAGAGCGGTACTCCTGGTCAAACCAGTTGACCCTTGCTGATCTCATCCCACTGGAGACACCTATCAACCCTGTCCACCCACCAGAGTCTCAGTGGAAGGAGAGGCTCATAGTTGGCCATAATGTCAGTTTTGACCGATCTTACATTAAGGAGCAATACTTACTAAAGGTCAGTATTCAAGGGGTGGTGTGTTTTGTCCTTATTTGCCTCTTTACCAACTCAGCTTTTTAGCACTCTTCTTTTTGTTTGCATCTTTATTGTATGGTTTTATGATCCTCCTTATGAGTCACATGACTAAATGTAAAAGTAGCAGGTACCTGCCTGGGCATGACATAAAAGTTTATGTACAGTACAAAAATGTGTTTTCTTTCCTGAAGGGTTCAAAGGTACGCTTCATGGATACCATGAGCCTTCACATGGCCATCTCTGGGTTGACTGGGTTCCAGCGCACGCTGTGGATGGCCAATAAGCTGGGTAAAAGGAGGGGTCTTCAGGAGGTCAAGGCTCACATTAAGAAAGCTGGGCAGAAAAGGGACGGCCCAATGGTTTGTGTTCCTTATTCACCGTATTTCGGCTACAGTATGCATTATTGGTGGCAATGTGCTTCTCGTGTCGGTATGTTTTGGTTGGCGTGGCAGTTGCTTTTGTCATCAGCAAAACTCAGTGTGACATGATGTGTTTGTGTATAGATTGGCTCTTGGGACTGGGTGAATATTAGCAGCATTAATAACCTGGCTGATGTCCATGCTCTGTATGTGGGAGGGCCGCCACTGCAGAAAGAGGCCAGAGAGACTTTTGTGAAGGGCAGCATGGTGGATGTCAGGAACAACTTTCAGGTCAGAGGTTCATGATAAATCCTGTGTCAGATTGTCAGTAATCACAGGCCAAATGTATTCATATTACAAGGTCCTCTAAAAGTACAGATAAATAATTGTGGCTTTGCTGACCTCTACAGGAATTAATGCAGTATTGCGCCCTGGATGTTCAAGCCACACATCGAGTTTTCACAGAACAGCTACCTCTCTTCATGGAGAGGTTCGTGGACCCCAACCCACAAAAATGAACATAAGTTATACGTTAGAATACTCTATCCAAGAATGTTACTTTGTTCATTATGCTGTGAAATAACAGCAGTTCTTTAATCTTTTGTTAGGTGCCCTCATCCAGTGACGTTTGCAGGAATGCTGGAGATGGGTGTGAGCTACCTCCCTGTCAATCAAAACTGGGGGCGTTACCTGGAAGATTCTCAGGACGTTTATGAAGAGCTTCAGAGAGAGATGAAGAAGTCTCTGATGACTCTTGCAGATGATGCGTGCCAGCTGCTGAAGGATGACAGGTGAGAAAAATACAGATTTATCACCATGCCTCTAAATGTAGCACCTTATTTAATTTTGGCCATATGTGTGTGGAAAAAAGGTTATAGATTTATGCATAATCTATAGTTCCATAACTTCAGGGGATATGTGCTTTAAATTGCTTTGTATAAAAACATCCATAATATATGTTTTTTATTTATTTATTTACTTAAGATACAAAGAAGACCCCTGGCTTTGGGATCTTGAATGGGATGTGCAGGATTTCAAGCTGAAGAAAGTAGCAGCCAGCAAGAAGAGACTCTCCAAAAAAGCAGCTGAAACACAAGTTTCTACTCCTCTTCCAGACTGGGAGGGAGGTATAAGCTCAGGTCCTGGGCCACATTCATAAAGCCAGTGTTATTTCTCTCTCTTTTTTTAAGATGGCTGTAGTTAAAACATTTTATCACCATTGAAAAAATGTGTTTAAAAATAACAGATGAGATGATTCAGTTGAGCTGCTGTGATATTAGACCCAGGTCCACCCTCTGAAGAGGAGATGGCAAGCCCTTGCCCCAGCAGGCTGGCGGTGGAGAAGATGAAGGAAACCGTGAATCGACTTCCTAAGAGAAGGCTACATCTGCCTGGACATCCTGGGTTAGATGACTTCCAAGCAGCACAGAGGCAGTTTTAGTACCACTGACTGTGTTAGTTAGTTTTTCTCCCCCCTTACTGTGTCCTTCAGGTGGTATCGTAAGCTGTGCGAGAAGATGTCTGAGGGGGACAGCTGGTCACCTGGAGCCGGCCTCATCAGTCTACAGATGAGAGTGACTCCTAAGCTGATGGGTCTGACGTGGGATGGTTTCCCCCTGCATTACACAGAGAAACATGGGTGGGGCTACCTGGTACCTGGGCGCAGGGATAACCTGGTATCTCAGGAGGAAAATACAGGCCCTGTGTGCCCACACAGGTCTGTAATACGCTGTGCTTATATCATCAAGGGATCAGCTATTCATGACTTAGTTTTAGATTTTCAGAGCATAGGGTGTGTGTGCATTTATTAATTGTTTTATCCCGCAGAGCTATTAAGGGTGTTTACAGAGAGTATTGTGAGCAGAACAGCAAACAGCAACCTGAATATCTGGATAGCAGCCCTTCAGAGGACCTCATGTGGACAGACAGCACAGTGTGGGCAAAGGTGCATACACCCATAATGCAATTATTCTTGTAGCATTTACAAAAAACTTGTCTTTTTCGCAAATATACATAAATCCCCTGTTTGAAATGATATGAAAGAGATGTTTCGTTTAACTTTAGATCAGACATCATAATCACAAAACAATAAATCTAGGTAATGGTCTTGACGTCCATTGTTATAGACTAGTGGGGGGGTTTTTCAAAGTCTGAGACTGTGTGCCTCCCCTCAGCCAAAGCCTTCACCCCCCCCTTAGTTTACTTGCTTAGTTTCGCACAATTCCTGAATGCCTGTGGTATCATGATTGTGATTTTTGGATCCCGTAGACACTAAACAATTAAGCCAAGATAGTCTATATTGCTATTGCTGTTTGACATAACTTGAGACTACAGCAAATACATTTTCAAAGGCTGTCCTAAGGCAAAAGTGGGAAAAACAGTCCCCCCCCCAGTCCTGCCACATACTTTGAAAACCTCTGGTCTAGGGGAAACAGGAACAACTGGTAGCTACTGCAGCATGACTTTCCATGTCCACGGGCTCTGAAATGATAGAATATGTATCATGACAGAGGTGTGTTTCTTAACCTCATCTCAAGGTGGAGGAGTTAAGTTCCCTGGAAAGTCTGACAGAGGAAAATGGAGTCAGAGTGACAAAAAATGGGAAGAGGAAGGACAACAGGGTGAGTGAAATGGCCGTTTAGATTCTTTTATGATGTAGAATAAACACGTGGACCACAAACTCTGTATAGTCTTGTTACATTTGTATATTCCAATTCCTGTTAAAGCCTTGTTCATGTTGAATGGCCCTAACATGCAATGTGATGTGGTTTTTATTCTACATGTGCTTTTTGTTTCGCTGTGCTGAACTTAAACATTAGTTGTTGTGATTTGTTGTATGACATATGCATAGTTTGTGTTCTGTATCAACAGTCTGAAGATCCACATTATGTCTCAGAGGAGAGTCACTGCCATTATCACCATGGAAATGGCCCCTACAACGATGTAGATATTCCAGGGTGCTGGTTTTTCAAATTACCTCATAAGGTAATAAGCCCTCATAAGCCCTGAATAACTAGTATTGACGTGTTGTCACTTCATTAAGTTAGTTTCATTGTCTCACAGAATACGTGTGTGTTTCAGGATGGTAATCACAACAATGTTGGCAGTCCTTTTTCAAAAGACTTCCTGTCCAAGATGGAGGATGGCACTCTCAGGGCAGGACGGGGTGGAGCCAACGCTGCACGAGCTCTGGAGATCAACAAGATGATGTCCTTCTGGAGGAACGCCCATAAACGCATAAGGTGCCAGCATTAAGTAGCTCATCTTTCTGGATGATCACAATCAGCTTTGTCAGTCATGAAGATGGTGAAAACATGGTTTTACTTTCTCCTCATAGCTCGCAGATGGTGCTATGGCTGCAAGAGAATGAGCTTCCTTCTATTGTCAGCGGGTATGTCTAGTATATCAATAGCTATCATGTAGTTATCTATCTCCCGTGTAGTGGGGAAAGGTCATTGCGGTGTTTAACAACCTTTCTGTCTCCCAAAGACACAAAGAGTTTGATAAAGAGGGCCGGTATGGTGCCATATTACCTCAGGTCATCACTGCTGGAACGGTAACACGTAGGGCTGTGGAGCCAACCTGGCTGACTGCCAGTAATGCACGGGTAAGAGGGAAGAAAAACCTCACTTCACATCCCAAGTCTGAAGTTTCTGACTCAGCTGCCAGTTTGAACTAAATTTCCTTTATCAGCTAGTATAGACATTTTGTTTATGTGGTCTGTTTTTTGTGTCCACAGCGGGATCGAGTTGGCAGTGAGCTGAAGGCCATGGTGCAGGTACCACCTGGATATCACCTGGTGGGAGCAGATGTGGACTCTCAAGAGTTGTGGATCGCTGCTGTGCTTGGGGAGGCCCACTTTGCTGGCATGCACGGTCAGATTTGTCCCTATTTTAAATCTTCGTACAGTTCTTACTTCAATGGCACATTATTGAACGCATTTTCATGTCTGTCACAGCCTGGACAAATAGCATCTGATGATAAATGTTCATTTTATGTTCCTGCTGGGTTCAGGTTGTACAGCATTTGGCTGGATGACCCTTCAGGGAAAGAAGAGTCACGGCACTGACCTACACAGCCGCACTGCTGCCACTGTGGGCATCAGCCGAGAGCACGCCAAGGTGTTCAACTATGGACGCATTTATGGTGCAGGGCAACCCTTTGCTGAGAGGCTGCTAATGCAGTTCAACCACCGCCTTTGTCAGACAGAAGCTGCCAGTAAGGCCAGGCAGATGTATGCCTTAACAAAGGGCGTACGCAGGTACACTCACGTTGAATAGTTGTGTTCAAGTCAAGCTTTTATTTTTAGTTGTTTGTGAAAAGGTGATTACCTTTAGTGCTGGATGTTTGTGTTTGTTTCATCAGCTACCATCTGACAGAGGAGTGCGAGTGGCTGGTCAGTGAACTGGGTATAAAGGTGGAGAGGGAGGAAAATGGAAGCGTCACCCTGCAGGAGTTGCGGAAGATCAGTAGACTGGTCTCAAAGTGGTGAGGGAGCGAGTAAAACATCACGCAACCACTTCACTGGAGCCTTTTCTTGTCACATCTTCTACATCCCATTAGTTGCTCTATTCCTTCATTTCCCTCTGTGTTTCTCATCTCCTCAGCTCTCGGCGGAAGAGGTGGGACATGGTGGAAAAACGTCAGTGGGCTGGAGGAACGGAGTCGGACATGTTCAATAAGCTGGAGAGCATCGCTCACTCAGCCCAGCCAGCCACTCCTGTTCTAGGCTGCAGGATTAGCAGAGCGCTGGAGCCCAAGGCAGTTAAGGATGAGGTGAGGCAGTACTGATCAGTGGGACAAACTCCTAACACAAATCTATTCACCATGCTGGTTCAACTAGCGTGAGCAGTCCACATCAAGAGCCTTGTGTGCCAAAAAACATTTGTACTATTCCGGAGATTCACTGTAATGTTTATTGCTTTTTGTTATTGTCTATAGCCAAATGGCCACTTTGTGATTAAGGGTAGGCCAAGTCCTAAAAATTATTATAAACTATTTTGAAGAAGAAATTATTTGCATAGAAGTAGCTGTGTCTTCCCCTGAATAATGAATTACATATGTTAATCAAAAGCCCGGTCTGGTGGAGGTCCATTGCTACCATTAATGGAAACTCTGAAGGATCTCTTCAGCTTTAAAGTAAGATTTTGCCCTATTTCATTTGTCAGTTTATCACGAGCAGAGTGAACTGGGTGGTCCAAAGCTCTGCAGTGGACTACCTCCATCTGATGCTGGTGGCCATGAAGTGGCTCTTTGAGGAGCACGACATTGATGGCCGTTTCTGCATCAGCATCCACGACGAGGTGCGGTACCTGGTCTGCAGCGAAGACCGTTACAGAGCAGCGCTGGCACTTCAGATCACAAACCTGCTCACAAGGTATTTAACCTTCCCTGTTAAAAAATATTCACTGTAGAATAGGCAATAAACCTGACAGCTTTTCCGGATGTGCGCTTCTGTACCCTGTAGGAGCGTGTTCGCACATGCGTTAGGCATGAAGGACCTTCCCCAGTCAGTGGCGTTCTTCAGTTCAGTCGACATTGACCAGTGTCTGAGGAAGGAGGTCACCATGGACTGTGTAACCCCCTCCAACCCGACAGGTCTGGAAAGAAGATACGGCCTAAAATCAGGTGAGTTCTGCACACCATGCACACCATCATCAGCCTTTATTCATTCTTTTTTCTGTAGTATGCCCAACATTTCAGTTAAAGTCAGGGAATTTTTACTCCTGCCAGGCTAAAATTCCATGCAAGACACAATTAAACAAAAATAAAATGGATAAACAGAATAAGAAAGGAAATTTAGGATGCTTTTCTGTGTATTAGAAGCCAAAGGTCCCCCTCTTCCTAGCCAATGACTAATGAAGTAGGGCCATCCTAAGTACTAATTTATGAAGTTACAACTTTACCATCTTTAAAATAAGAACTTTGGCCTTTATCTTAACAACAGAGCAGCATATTATACAATTGACCATTAACCGTGTTTAGTTATACGTTTATATACACATTTCTTATGAATAGAGTGAACTACAGGAACACAATCCAACAATGTGTGCAAACTTTCCACAGGCGAGGCCTTGGACATCTACCAAATCATCGACATCACTAAAGGCTCTCTAAACAAAACGGCAGTTCACACACAAAATTGCCAAGAGGAAGTTGAGCAGCTTGTCAGAGTTGAAGATCACCGAGGAGATGTGTAAATCAAACAGGAGTCTTGGCTCACTGTTTTCTCTTCTTCTGTTTGGGTTCTTGTGTCTCTTCTGCATCCTGTGACTCTGTGGTCTGAAAGGGATGGAAGAAGAAAAACAGACACTGAGATCCCACCCAGAAGCTTACTGGAATGTCCAAGGGAATTAAATGTTCAAAACACATGGGAAAAGCATTTCAATCTCAGCAGATTTACTGACTTGTGTAAAGCTGCTTGTTACAGAATGAGACTGCACTTACTTCCTGACTGTTGTCCTGCTCCTGCAAGGCTGCGTCCAGAGTAGCAGGGTTGATGCGGAAGTCTCTTGAGGTGCTCAGCTTCATGTACTGCATCAGATTAACCTGGAGAAACATGCACACAGACGTTGGTGCAACACTGTTTATGAGGGGCCTATTTGATGTCACAGTTTTCTGCGTTTTGCTCAGTGTTCTGTTTTTACGTTTAAGTATGTATGTATTTCTGAGAATCATATTTTGTCAACTGTCTTAAGCAATCCAGTTCACACATACCTTTGATTTCTTTGAGAGTGTGATGAGGTATTTCTCATACTGCTCAATGCTGAAGATCAAGTTAGGGATGGCCTTTGTCTCACGCAGAAGTTTTGACTGTAAAGAGAAAAATGGAGATTTTTATTCTGATTGGATTCATTCAAAACAGAGTTGTCTGAGGCTCAGAAGTCTTTAGTTGTACAGTGTAATAATAAAAATAATAATAAAAAACCTGTTATAATCAATGACAGTCATTACAATTACATGATTATAGGAGATAGGGTCCTTACAGAGGCAGCAGTGTTCGCTTCATTCCTTTTCTTTTTCTTGTCATCCGCACCTCCACCACTAAATTCTCCACTCTAATAGAGAAAACACATCAATCAAATCCATAACTGAAAAACTAACAGCACCATCATAATTACAGATGATAATTTGTCTGAAAACTGGGACTGAGCTGTACCTGTGCGTATGTGATGAAAGAGTAGCACTGCGGTGTTAGGTGGGAGCCAGACAGTTTGACCTACACAGAAAACACTAGATTAGCATGACGCCAGAAGTACTGGAAGATTCAAACAGAGGAACAATAAGTTAGACTTACCAGCTTCTCAAAGCGTGCTGGCAGTGCACCGTGCTGGTTGGCACACACCTGGATGTACTAAAATGGAGACACATGGAGAAAATAAATTGGTGTCACACTAGACAAACTCCACAAACATACGGAGATCATGGAGTGGACACATACGTACATATTTGACCAGGGTGGTGAGGATGGTGTATGTGCGAGTCAGTTCTCTCAGCAGTGTAATGGTGCAGGTGCCAGGCAGCAGTGCCGTCTGGACCAGCTCATTTAATGCTGTCAAAAGAGTCCCGAGCTGCAGCGTCACCGCTTTCTCTATTGGATCCTGCTGGCCTGCAGTCTGGGTGGCCTCACCTACACGTCAGGAAGGTAACATTCACAGGAGTTTTGGTGCCACACCTTGACATCTCCTCCCTTGTCCCCTTTCAACTCTCCACCATTAATCCAACTGCGCATCAGTGTGAAAAGGCTTCTTACCACAGCCCAGTTTGTCCGAGGCCGTCTGGCTTTTCTTTCTGGCAATCAGCCAGTCCACCTCATCAAGCACTCTGTCAGCCTGTGACAGGACCAGCAGCTGGAGCAAGAGATTAAAGTGATGATGAAGACGGTGAGCATACTGCGCAAACAGATACTTAGGTGACTGTGTCGATGCAAATCAGAAGATTCTAGTTTTAAGAACCAAAACTCACTGCTGCGGTTGTTGCAGTCTTCATGTTGACAATGGTGAAGTGAGACTGTTTTTCCACCTCCACATCCTGAGCACAGAAAGGGCAAAATAAAAAGTGGCCTGTTCTGGCTGAATTGCTAGCTTATTGTCATCTATTTATTGCTGCCATAAATTATTATTAGTACTTCAAAATGAAGGCCAAAGGGTAACTGTAGATTACTGTTGAAGTATTAATCATTTGGTGATGGTTTTTGGAAAAAAAAAGTTTGATTCTAAAATGTAGTATAAATATCAGAGTAAAAAATAAGTGTTCCCACTCTTTTCCTAGAAATCATCTTCCAGGACTTTTCCAGGACATTTTCAGTGATCTAGCTGGTATGACAGACATCACGTCATACAGTAATATGTTCCTGTCAGAGGAAATTTGATTTTAACGACTTGCAGCAGTTTAAGACAAGAGACTAATATATACCTGTGGAGGATAATGCAACTTACGTTATTGAAAGTTTCGGTCACTTGAATTAATGTCAGCAAACCTGTGCTACCATGGGACGTGACTCAGGGGTGTATTCAAAACGCTACCGCAACATAATGTTAAATTAATTTTTCGGGACATTTTATTTTTTCTCTCTTTTTCCATGACTGGAAAATTGCTCAACTGTTTTCCAGGATGTGTGGGAACCCTGATAAATATTTTTAACATGGCCAGTATCTGCTAATCCTTTAACACTACGAGATTTTGGGATGATATGAGACGATTATCAAAAGGTTGGATTTGAACCATGGACAAAGCAGTCAACAAAGATACCTGCATTTAAGGGATAATCATGGAATTGAAAAATTGACATATACAATAACACTGTAATTAACTGATGTGCCATAATTAAATAACTATAAATTGCTGGTATCAACTGTTGCCTTGCAATTGTTTTAAAGGTATAATACCATATTGCTTGTGCTCTGAACACTGTAAAGTGAATTTGTATGTACCTGATCGATATCTCCCAGCTGGCTGTGGATGTCTTGGCAGAGTTCCAGCAACAAGCTGACAGGACTCTTATAGAGAATATGCAGGTTGAAGAGAAGAGAGAGCAGGCCCTTGGACAAAGCAGAATCCTCTTAAAAAAAATAAAAATAAAACAGGCTTGAGAAAACACACCTTACTGTACCGAACGTGGATACAAAGATGAAGTGAACTGACACTCACCAAAACTGGTCTTCTTGCAGATTTTCACAGTCCATGTGATCATCTGAACAAACTAGATGTAGACATGTGTTAGTGGAACAAATACTACAGAATTTGTTCAAGAAAGGGCACTTACTAGTACACCCACCTGTTGGGAGGAGGGCTTCAGCTGGCGTGAGAGCACACTCAAGATGCTGACCAGCAGCTGAGCCTCTTTGCTATTAAAATCTTCCTCGCCTCCACTTAACTGTGTGAACAGCGCCCTCTGTTGACGGGCAAAGACAATTGGATTTTAGTGTAGATGCTCATGGTGTGAAGCAGTGCTCCCTACATTAAAAAAATAATTAAACAGGTTTGTATCTAAAAGAGAAGCAATGGATAGGCATGACTTACACTTTTTCATTAGAAAATAAATGTTTGGATTTTAATCTAACACACAGAATAATACATAATGCAGATGCACCTGAAACTGTCGGATGTAAAAGAAGTTCATCTCTGTAACACTGCCATCGTCTGGCTCGGCATCATCCTCTGAGATGTCTGTGAGAAACACAAAAAGTGATGTATTCCTGTGTACCGTTCAGGTGTAAAACGTAAAACCGACTGCTTTTACAGTTTGAAAACTGCACGTCTGACCCATGGTGGAGAGGAGCTGGGCCATCCTGTCAGGATAGCGCTGTTGGCATGTTGTGAAGATCCTGAGCAGCCCTTCCAGACACAGATGGGACAGGCTGGAACGCTTCTCCTTCTTCCCTGCATCCTCCACGACACTGGGTATGTTGGTGTACCGCCACATCAGCACACTGGGATGACAATTATACGATGATTCTTGTATTCTTTTCTTTGGTCAAAGAAAACAAAAAGGGTAAACAGTCTACCTAAATGCTGTTATTTAGGCCAAGGGATTCCAACCTTGTCATGTCACAGAGGAAGCGGAAAGTTCTGTCCGTGTTCTGTCCATCTGGGCCATCTGTGTGTCCAGTTTCCTCCAGCTGCTGGATCTTCTGTACAGCCACACTTACTGCATAACGCACAAATTCTCCACTTGACCGAAGCACTGAGAGAGCCTCCTCCCTGCACTGAGTGCTGTCTCTGTCAAAAAATAAAAATAAAAAATAATAATAATGTGACGCAGTAATGTTCAATTCTACAAATTATTATGAATGTATTAGTGTTGTCAATAATACTCTTGATTCAATGCACATTTAACACATTTTTGGAAACCAGCTGATGTGTTTATTTAGTATTTCAAACTTTTAGCTCTTCAAGTTTGCCCAGTAATTAGTAACTGTCATTTTTAATAAATGCTACACAAAGTATATTTTTGTACTGCCTTCAAATTCTTGCAAGAAACATACATTCCAGTCAAGACGTGTAAGAACTAAGAAGATGAATACTGTATTTATAGAAGTTGTTTCTGGGTAAATATATTGTGATTTAATTAAATTAAATGTGGCCTTCATACTCAAGAGAGAACAGTGTAGTAATCCCTGTAGGCCACTGAAAGCACTTACCTGAAGAGCACAGTGAGAAGAGTTGATATGAAGCCCAAAGAGAGTAAACTGCGGGGGGTCTTGTTTGAGGGCCCGCGACCCTTTCCAGATTTCTCCTTCAGGATCTCAAACAGCTTGTGGTAGCAGCTGAACAGCTCCATGAGCTCCTCAAAGCGGCTTTTACTGCAATGCACAAATAATAAAATCCCACACTTTTAAAGATTTATGCTACACAATGTCCTGACTATACAAAGAGAGGTGGTTGCTACCTGTAGTTGGCTTTGATGAAGTTGTACTCCATGAGGACCTCATACACTCCCATCACCAGTACAGCATAGATATTATTCTTCACCCCAACACTGGATCCCATGGAGAACTCAGCTGACTTGTCCTGATCAACACAAAGACTTGTTTGGCTTGTGTTGGCTTAAGATGATGCTTCCAGTACCACATTAATAACTGGCAAGAGCAGGGACAAGCATGGATGCTGTAAGTAAGGAAAACTGCCAATAGGATACAGCGGATATACAATTCAAAAAGAAAATGTTGCTTATTTGCAATTCTCCTCTCAACGAGACTACTCATTTATTAAAATTACAAACTGTTAGTGCTTCTCTTCTCACAGCCGTGTACAGGTCACTGAGACACATAATTAGGACAAGCAGAAAAATGTTATAAATGCCAATAGCGGCAAGGTTCCTCCTTCTGTTGAGAAAATTTAAAAGCCATATAATGTAGTTTATTGTACGATTTTCCTGTCCTGACATACATACCAGTTCAAAGTCCTCCAGTTCACTCTTGATCATGCGTCTTGTCATGCTCTCTAGAATTGTCTGCAGTTCAGACTGGTATCCCTCCTCCTCCTCCTCCTCCTCCTCCTCATCACTGTCGTCAGCGTTGTGGTTTGCTGATCGACGCATATTCTGCAGCCACAGCAGGCAATGCACAGTACAGCTCACCAGATGGGCCTGACAGGGGACAAACACTATTTATAGCTGACATTAACACAACAAAAACACAAATTGCTACAATGCTGACAAGATTACCAGTGGCTCCTGGAGGTAGACTTTGTCTCCGAGAGCTGTGATGCACGGTTCCAGTTTCACGGGGGGCAGAAGGTCTTGTTCAGGCTCATAGTACCGCCTCAGCTAAGGATATAAAGACACACAGCTCCTCCATGTTATAGATAATATGACAAATAGGCTATTATATGTAATTTAATACACACATACCTGGGAGAAGAGGGTCTGCATGATGGAGCTTGCAAGTTGAGAGTTGCGACGGAGAACATCATAGAAACCCTGAAACGGGCGAGAATC